GCACCTGGCCCTGTCCTCCCAGGGGCTGGTCCTGGAGACTCCACGGGGCCAGGACCCAAGGGAGGGGCCCAGGAGGGCCTCTGCTCTGCACATGCAGCCCCACTTTCACAGGACCCCAACATCTCTACAAGGCCCAGGCTGTGAGCTCAATCACAGAGTAAAACAACACAGAAAATAAGCGTGGTTTGCCAGACAAAGGGAGTCTGGCACAATACCCATGGAAGCTGCAGTGGGCCCCTGAGGAGGTCTGGGGTCCCACAGCCTCCTTCCCTGGATGTGGGGTGCTTTGGCTTCCAGAATTGGGCTGCTCTGGCTGGGGGGCAGGGACCCTGCTTTGAACCCCACCCACTGCAAGGCGCTGGGTGACATGTGGCTAACTGGCCACCTCCCAGAGCCATCAGGGTAAGCCCCAGCCCAGGGGTGGCTTCCTCTGGTGTCAGCCTTGCAGGTCCCACAGGGTGTCAACCTTGCAGGTCCTGCAGAGGGAGGGACACAGTGGGAGGGGCAGCTGGGGATGTCCCTACCTCACTTAAGTGGCAGCGGCCTGCCTGTGCGGATCTCTCACATCTGGGCCACTTAGAAGGGAGGGATGGGAGCTAGGGGCCGTCCCCAGGAACTGGGCCCTCCCAGCCAGCCCAGCTGCCTCCTAAAAGGGCCCCTTGGGGAGTGCACTGGCCCTCAGCACCTGCCTCTCTTTTTATCTTGATTTTGTTTATTTTTTGTTTTTGCATCCCCAGGGCTGGAACCAAGGGCCTCCCACATGCTGGGCAAGAGCTCTGTGACTGGGGGGTGGCCAGGGCTCTGGGTGCTCCCTGGCCCCGGGTGCACCTGGTGCACCCTGCCCTTCTTCTCTCGCTGCACGTCCTCAGGAAGGAAGGCGAGACCTTCTCCTTTACCTGCCCCTCCCCACGTTAGCCCTGGTGCATCTTCCCCAGCATGGGAGAGACCAGAAAGGCCTCCCTGGTGACCTCCCAGATAGCGAAGTCCCCCAGGTTGAGCTCTGGCTCTGGGTTTATCCCCTGCCTCTGCCCCCCCATGAGGTCTGGGGTGGAGGAGTGGCCCAGACCCTGTATTCCCATGGCTCTGACTCCACCCCACCCGCTGCCCACCTGCCCACAGCAGCTGTCACCACCAGAGAAAGGTGGTGGGGGAGGCAAGAAGGTCCCAGGCCAGCAACGCTGAGCTGGCCCAGGAGGCAGAGGGAGGGTGGACCTTGGCAGAGACCCTGAGCTCAGCCCACACCATGTCCCCCTTCTGGCTGCTGCTCTGTCCCTCTCTCCCGAGTTGGCAGTGTCCACCCTCACCTGGGGTCCATAGTGCAAGGTTAGATTCCTGCCCACTTCTCCCACGTTGGCTCCTGAGTGCTCCTGGGGGCCTCATCCTCTCGGATCCTCTCAGGAGACCCCACGGATGGCACCCAGAACCCCCAGGCCTCCCCTGGGCAGGGACCCCGGGCTAGGCCTCCCTGGGTCACCGCAGGCCCAAACCTGTGGGAGAACAGACCTCTGAGCCGAAGCACACTCCAAGGACAGGAGCTCTGCGGCTGGGACCGCACAGGGCAGGGGGACAAGCTCTGGGCCTCACACCCGGCGTGTGTGCCACGCTCCCTACAGCCGGACACTACCTTGAGGACCCAGAACCTCCAGGCAACTGCGCTTTACAGAAGAGACCATGAGCCAGGAAGATCACTGCGAGCTCAAGTCCAGTCTGCACTACACAGTGAGAGCCTCGTTACGATACGATGTGATATGACACAATACAATACAAACCCGTACAACTAAAGAGGCCCAGGGTGCTCGTAACCCAGGAAACCTGGCCCCCATACCCACTGTAGTCGGGGGCCTGGACATCCCCCAGGCCTGTCCCACCCCCAGCCTTGGAGGCCAGGAGACTTGGGACTGCCTGAGAACCACTCCTAGGAAGCACAGGGGTGTGCAGCTTGCTCCCACCCTCAGGGACCACCAGGCTGGGCTGGGCAGGCCAGCTCGCACTGGCCGATCCACGGGGTCCCCGCCTGCTCCCTGCAGGGGCACGCACATCATTCTCGCCTCCGACTTAATAAACAGCACGATCCTGAAACCCGGCGCTGAACATCTCATTTCCACCCCCAGGCCGGCTACAGCACCTGCTGCACCAGGCTGGGACACTGCCACCCTGTCATTATTGTCACCCTTGGATGCTAGGAATGAGGCTGCTGTCTGGGGATTGTGGACAGCAGCACCAGGAGGAGGCCAGCAGAGGGGTCTGGCTGGCAGCCCGGGCTCCAGGGAATCCCCAGCTCGGGGCGTGGAGCTGCACCCTAGGAGTTCCGTGCCTGGCTCTCCCTGGCATGTCGCTGCCTGACCGAGTGGCCCTGTCTGCAGAGGTGTAGGCCCACCCTCACGACCCGTGTGGGAGCGTCAGGCCTGGCAGCGTGGGCTCCTGGGCCTAGGTGTCGGGCCGGGTGGGTAGCATAGCCCCTTCTCTTCTGCCAACCCCATCCCCTCTGGCCCCTGCCCTCTCAGGGGTCTTTTTTCGAGGTCCCCCCTCACTGTGGTCTGGTGCCAGCAGCTATCCCTCTGGATCAGAGGACACTGGTGTCCAGGAGGCGGGTGGCACCTCCGAAGAGCAGTGTGAGATAAGGAAGGTCCCGAAGAGAAGGGAGGACAGCTTCAGCCCTCACGCTGTGCAGCGTGACACCACCGGTCAGGCCTCGGCAGCCCCTTCCCTCACCTCTGCTTTAGTTTCCTTTCCTGTAGAATGGAAACCTAATAGATACCACTTCTGGGAGAGCTGTCACCTGCAGGGACAGGAGGCCACAAGAGACCCAGAGGAGAGACACTGTGGGGCTCCTCCCTGCCACTCATGTTTGCCAGGAATGAGGGTGCAGGACCCTGGTCCCTTGGGCCCACAGTCCCCACTGCTCCTCAGGTGCCATGCCTGCTGCCTGGGATGGGGCACCCTGGGACATGGAGGCTCCAGCTCCTGGGAGAGGGGCATTAGGGAGCAGGGGGCCAGGCTGGGAACCCTCCTGGCTTCCAAAGGGCCCCGCGAGCAGGAGGACAGGAGGTGGGGCTCTGAGGTGGCTAATGGCCATGCTCGGATCACAGGAGTCAGGCCTGCTGGACAGTGGACAAGAAGCGTCCCTGCTCCGGGGCCCAGGCCGCTGGCCCCACCTGGCCCCTCCTGCATACAAGGGGGGACTGCTCAGGAAGATGCAGGCAGGAGAGAAAAGCAAGCGCCTGGGAGCCCCTGCACCCACCATGCCGGAAGCCCTTCCTGCCCTGCATCGACCGGCTCCAAAGTCTTTTGTTTCCCAGGTCTGGCCACACCGGTGGGCTTTCTACTCTGGGTCTGGCAATACCTCAGCCTCCTGACCTCTGGGCTGATAGTTAATGAGCCAATACAGTTTCCACTTTGCAATTCAGCATCTTGGAAGGCCTGCCTTGGCACCTGAGGGTCTGCCCCTTTTCTTCCGTGGGCTCCTGAGTTGGGCCAGGCCACCTCAACTGCCCCACAGCCCATCCTCCATGGCCAGACTTCCAGGAAGAGGGCAGAGTGGTGAGCAGCAGAGAAAGAGCCGCTCGGGGATCCGGTGTCCAGATAGTGGCCTGTAGCAACACGAGGAAGCGAAGAAGGAGAGAAGCGGGTCCCTGGGACCCAGCGGGGACCTCAAGTGAGAATGGAAGCCCATGAGGAGATGGAAGGAGAAGGCCTCAGAGCACGAGAAGGAGGTGGTGCACGCCACTTTCTCCCTGCGCTCCGGTGGGGCAGATGGAGCCTGCAGGTGCATGGTGACCCCGAGGCCTCCTCCTGGAAACACACCAGTGGAACGGAGCAGTGAACGCGCGGGACTCCAGTGGCTGGTGCGTCGTCCGGGTTCAGATGGCCCCAGGAGGGCAACTGGATGGGAGCCATCTCAGGCAGGGGCCAGCTGAGCTCCGAACTCAGAACAGCTCCGGCCAGCTCCATCTAGCAGCTTCCAGCGTCAGGGTGAGGCGGGGGAGACTTCATGCCGGAGGGAGGCACACGGAGTGCTGCAGGCTGAACAATCAGCCCCACAGCCGGAGCTCTGGTGGAACTACGCTGCGGGTTTGCCGGGATCGGTCCCCTCGGATCTGGACCCTGCTTGCCCAGTCTGTCTACCAGTGACAGCCGGGATACACCTGTAAGTGGACTTTTTTTTTTCTTATTGTCTTCTTTTCCCTTGTTTTCTTATTTTTGTTTTGTTTTGTTTTCTTGATGTCTACGTGAGTGTGCACTTGGTTTCAGTTTTGTTGCTGCGTTCTCGTTTTTATTTCCTCTTCTTTCCCTCTCATCTTCTCCACCAGTTTCTCAAAGCGTGTGTGACCTTCCCTTGCCCTCCAGCCTGGCTTTCAATCCCCACTTCTTCCTCATCTTCCCTTGTCCTCCTCCTCCTTTTTCTCCTCCTCCTCCTTTCTCTTCTTCCTCCTCCTCCTCCTCCTCCTCCTTCTTTTCCTCCTCTTTCTATTTTTCCCCTCCCCCTCAACTCCCTTCATAATTTCCTCCCTGAGGGTAAAAAAATCACCACACTGAGGGCTTATTTTCTGTATACAACTTTGGGGCTCATCTGAGATGCTGTTATAGGAAAGCAGATCCAGCTCATGGTTGGAAGGTGGCAAAGCAATGACCAGTGCGGCCTGTTGTCCTCTAGGCTGTGTCTGATGCTATTCTTATTGCTCATTGTACCACTTTGGCTGAGACGACGTAATTGTTCTAACCACTTGTTCTTCCCAGGATGCCAAGGCTGAGACAGACTAAGGTCAGAAAAAATACTATAGGCCAGGGCCAAAGAGCCAGGGGCTGGGCCCAGCAGGCAGAACCTCTCGTCCCCAATAAACTGAAGAAGTGGGATCTTGCAGCAGACTCAAAACAAAAAGCCAGTGACACCTCAGAAGTAGTCACCCCTAACGGTTCTCAGTAATAACAATAAAGCGGCTCAGCATGAACGATGTGCACGCCCCAACCAGGCAGGAAGCCACTCCCCACAGCAAACTCACCATGACAGGAGTGGTCATGTCTTGCAGGTGGAAGACGTCCATGCTGGCCTCTGTGCTGCCCGCCGCTTCTGTGTTGCCCTGGCTGGGCTGCGAGAGGTCGAAGTAGGTGCTGTCTGGCTCTCTAGGCCGGGGACAGGGACACAGCCATCAGTGCCCAGGTGGGGTGCCACTCCCAGAGGTCCCAGGGTCCTGGCCCCTCCTGCTCCACCCTTCTTCTGCTCCTTCGGCTGGTGGGAGAACCAGGGAGCTGCGGCCCCCTGCAGGCTGTCCCCTGGCCTCTCTTGGCCCCAAGCCCAGCTCTGGCCCTCATGTCCCCAGAAGCACAGGCTGTCCACACCCCTGCTCCATCCAGTGCGGCTGAGGGCACTACTCACAGTGAGCTCCAGAGGTGTTCAAAGGTGGACTCCTCATCAGGGGCAGTGGAGGAGGACTGGGCCATGTCCCACACGCAGCCGCCGGCCACCTCAGGGCTCCTCACGCTGAGGAGGAGAGGACTCATGAGCCTCAGAAACGCCCTGGCTGTCTTCCTCGGACGCCCAGGGGGCAGGCGGGCAGGGCCTGGTACTACGCAGGGACTTCCCTGGTGCATGGGTCTGGGGCCCCACCCCAAGCCTCCAGTCCATGCTCTGGCACGTGTAGCTGAGGCCAAGGCAGCTGGCTAGGCCTGGACTTAGGTCTAGCGCAGGGTGCCGTGGCAGGAGCCTGCTGAGCACCCCAGAGGGGAGGCACAAGCCGCAGCGCTTCCCTCGGCTGCCGTGGCCTCCTGGAGGAGGAACTGGGCTTCTGTGCCGGCCTGGCGGGGTGAGCTGCGAAGACATGCAGGATCACTGTGAGGAGCCCCAGGCCACGGGCGGGCGGGCTCAGCCCAGGTCACCCTCCTGCTCCAGCACGCAGGGAACACTCCAGGCAGGAGGGTGGCTGTGGAATCAGACTCCTCCCACCTCTGAGGCACCAATGCAGCCACTAAGGCCAAAGATGCGGACACCAGTGCACACGCGTGCGTACACACACACACACACACACACACACACACGCCATGCAGGAGACCCTGCAGGCCCTTGCTCTGCAGAGGGAGAGGGCGGGGAGCCCAGGGCCACGCTGCCCACCGTCCCGCTGCCAGTGGGGATCAGCTAGGCCGCGCCCTGAGCTCTGAGCCGGCAGGCCCAGACACGCCTGGGGCCGGCAGGGCGGAGGGCACGGCTGCAGTCTGCCCCTCTTGCCCTTGTGCCTGGGCAGGCTGGCACGGGGAGAGGCCCGCGGTGCACTGCTAGGGCCAATATGTGTGTGCCTAGCTGACAGTCCCCAGAACGGAGCTGGCGCTGGAAGCCTGCAGGGCCCGGAGCAGGAAGGCCTGGGGCGAGCCCCTGCCCCCTCCACGTCCATCCACGTGCAGAAGCAACCCAACTAGGGTCCAGAGTCTCGCTCACTCTGTCCCATGGGGTCCTCAGGAAGGCTGTAGCTGGCTCCGCAGTGCAGCCAGAGCTGGGGACGCCCAGCCCAGGACGCATGGGGACGGTGCTCAGGGACCAGACAGCGGTGAACATGTGGCGCCCGCAAGCCGTCACTTTAAAATGTTAGCTAACGTCAGGGGAGTCTCACCGCCACACGGTTCTTCTGGTGCTGAGGAATGAAACCGAGCCTTCGATGGGAGCCACCTCCCAGCGCTTTCTATTTTTTATCCCAAGACACGGTCTCGAGAGGTTCCTAAGTTGCCCACTTGGGCTCCAACTGTGACCCTGCTGCCTTAGCCTCCAGTGTGCTGGGCTGGGGGGTGCACCGACAGGTTCTGGCCCTGGTATGAATTGCTGAGTCACTATGGTGGTCACCTAATAAGCTGAAGCCCTTAAAACAAAAGCCCATCTTTCCCAGGACCACCTCCCTCCTCCTCTCCCGGTTCAGCCCAGGGTGCAGTTTCCTTTCACCTTTCCCGCCACATCAGGGAAGACCCCAGTCAGCTCCTCGGGTCTATCTAAACATCCCCCTCAAACCCCACCCCTGGCAGAAGACCCTAAAAGCCTCAGCCTCCCTTTGTTCACTCAAGAGAATTTGCATCCTCCCCACATTCTGTGTCCTCCGAGATAAGGAAGTCCCTTTTCCTGTTTCCTTCTGCCAGCTTCTCTGCTGCACTGGGCACCTGAAAAAAACCTATCATGCACCACCGCGCCTGGCTCATTTTTTTTTTTTTTTTGCAATTTCAAAGTTAGTAGAGGGGGTGGCACTGCAAGTTGTTTGGACATTCACATGGCCACCTAGAGAAAACACATCTGGGTCCCAGGCTAGCCAAGTCCTCACCACCAGCTGACACCGAAACGCCTGGCCAGGGAGTGGGACTGAGGTTCACCTGTCGGCCAAGGCCCTGGGCCGCAGCCCACCTCCCACATGAGCAGTAGCCTGAGGAGTGGGTGCAGGAGCCCCGGACTGGATCTAGGCCAAGCCCCACTCTGCAGCCCACTCCACCCCAGGCGGCCAGCCCTGCCCTCACGCCTGCTGGGAAAGGAAGCACCCAGAGGCCTGGATACGGTGAGAGAGTGTGGGAGGGAGGGGCTCGGCCGCCTGGAGCTTTGCCTCCAGGGGACCCCAGGCTGGGACCACTGTGTCCCCTCCAGGTACCAAATGCTCTTCTATGGCCACACCTCTTCCCTCAGCCCACCTCAGGACTTGGCCTTCTGCCCCAGGCCCTCAAGGGCCCCCCTCAGTATCCAGCTCTGGACTTGGGGAGAACCCGGTGTCCAGCCTGGTAGCCCCACACTGCTGACTTCTGGGCTCCCCACAGTACCCCATTACCTGCTTCCTGTTCTGCTGGCCTGTGACACATGGGTCAGAGAGAGAGAGAGAGAGAGAGAGACAGACAGACAGACAGACAGACAGACAGACAGAGACAGAGAGAGACGGAGACAGGAAGAGATGACCTGCCAAAGCCATGCACCTGAGCCGCCTCCACCCCTGGACCGGGGCCCAGGGTCACAGCAGGGAGATGACGACTCCAGCCCCTGGTCAGGGTCATAGGTATGCGCTGTGCTGAGCGTAGGGCTGAGCTGCGGGGCAGAGTGGTGTCCTGTGACCCCACCCACCCTTAGGTGCCCAGATCCTGCACCTGCCCAGTCCCTGGCCTTGGCCTCTACTGCCAGCACAGGGTGCATCTGCCAGGGCCCACCCCTCGGGGATGGAAGGGGGTGCTAAGCGGGGTGGGCAGCAGGTCTCGGGCTCAGGTGTGTGAGTCCAGGCTCGGGGTGGGGTCTGAGCACTCCCTGTAGGCTGCCTGGGTCTCTGCATGGCCTGCTCTCCAGGCTGACCTGCCTGGCCCTTCTTCCATGACCCTGCAAGAGAGGACTGAGCCCAGCATGGTGGCATATGTCTGTCATTCCAACACTCAGGAGGCTGAGGCAGGAGGATGGCCTGGAGTTCAAGGCCAGCCAGAGCTGTCAATCAAAATCCTGTCTCAAAAATCAAACAAAGAAAACAGGGAAAGAGGCATGGGAATAGAATGCCAAGAAACTGGAACTGTAAAGCTTCCATTCTCCCTGGAAAGCCATGAAGTGTCCCACAGTGCAGAGGTGTTGCCCCTGCTGCTCTCCTCTTGCCCCAGAGCGCCGGGTGCCTGTCCGGCTGCCCACAGTTGCAGACCCAGTGAGAGAGGCCTGACCTTCAGTGAGACAGGAGGCCAGCCAAGGCTCTGCTGGTGCAAGGCAGGCCTCACCACGCTGGGCTCCGGGGCTGCACCTGGGAAAAACACCATGCCGGGAGGAGACTGTGGCTTAGGCCAGCGGTGGCTCAGAGCTCCAGAGCAGGCAGGGCTGGGAGGACAGCCCAGCACCATCCTGCCTGAGCACCCAGATCTGGCACTGCCACCCTCTGGCTGGGCTCTCTGGTTTCCACTGTCACCACAAAGTGCAGCAGTGGGGGTGGGGTTTGGGCCCCCAGCACAGAGACCACAGGTGCCTGAACACTGGGCCACTGTGGGACTGGGGCATCCACAGTTCTGCTGGCTCTTGTGGGGTCCCCAGACCCCCCTTGGTGGGGGGTGGCCAGGCCTGGCCCAGTCCAGGGAACAGTAAACAGGCACACAGGCCCAAAGAACTTGCTGAGTGACTCAGTCCACAATGGGCCTGGGTGGTCAGACAGCCACCCTCCGTCCTGCCCTGCCCACCTGGTTCTGTTAGCTGGGGCTGGTTTTGTCTTCTGTGGCCATCCCCACCTCCTGGGCTGTCCATGGGGCATCCCCTCATGGGACTCCATCACATCCCCTTCTGGTCCCCCCACACCCCAGCTGTGCGCCACCCCTGTGGTCAGCCTTTGCCCATCCTGTCCTCCCGGCTGGACTCCAAAACTCCTGCCAGCCCTGAACTCCAGGGTACCCGTCTTGCCCCTCATTGCTTGACAAGAGATTGGAACACAGTTGTCACCAGCCATGTGGCCCAGGTGAGAGCGAGGCCTCCTGCCCTCTTTCCCTATCCAGAGACAGAGACTCCCAGCCTAGCCCAAGTCCACCTCTCAGGGCTGTCCACGTCCCCTGAGATCAGCAGGAAGGGTGCAAATTATCCTACCCAGCCGGAGCCCGAGTAGGCCCAGTCCCCAAAGAGACACTTGGTCGGGCGGTGTCAGCAGACTCGAAGCCAGCAGTGTCCCTACCATGAAGTGGCAGCGCCTCTGGGCAGTGGCAAGCCCTGGTTTCCGTAGAGGGCCGAAGCCCCAGCCCCGCGAGGCTCCACTTACCTGGGCCATGCCCTCCTCTTGGGCCGACTGCGGGCTCTCCGTCTGCCCTAGCCTGGGACTGGCTGCCAGCTACCCTTGATGCCCACTCTTGAGGGGACAGGGGAAGCCAAACCTTGGGCCAGGGCAGCCCGAGCCACTCCTGGGAGGCCAGAGCCCCAACACTGCCTCTGAGGCCTCCCTGGTCCCGGAAAGCCAGGGACTTCGACAGGAGACAAATTTAGCTGCCCACCCTGGCAAGGCAGGGTGCGCTGTGTGAAATGCAAACGCAGGCGGGCACCCACAGGGCACCTCCCACTGGCCGCCGCCACTGAGGGGGAGGGGAGAGGGCAGTGCAGGCCTGGCCACTCTCCTCCAGTGTGGACAACTCTGAGGTCACCCTGAGCTCTGTCTCAGTCCAAGAACTGGCTCGGTATCTGTGTAAGGCAGGGAGACAGGCAGCCCACCCTCCGGCCAACAGGACATGGGGGAGGCAACTTCCAGAAAGAGACAGGGGCTGACCGGCCCTGTCTGCGACACTCCAGACCCCTGGGCCAGGGAACGCAGCTGCAGCCAGATGAAACGGAGAAACTCCTGTACCCAAACAAGTCCAGGACAGCTAGAGTCCCCACATGCCCCAGACAAGTGCGACCTGTGGCGGACAGGGACTCAGCACCTGCAGACAATGCAGGACCTCCTCCCACTCACCCCCACGTGCAGGGGTCCGGCCAGGACGCGGGGCACTGTGTGTGCTCAGCACCTCGAGACATGGACCGGGCCCCTCCCACTTAACGCACAAAGCCCCTCTGTCACCTTCCAGTGGCATGACCTTGGACAGTGGCATCCTCTATAAAGCAGGGGTGATTGTGACCCCCATCCTCTGGCAGTGCCACATGTGAAGACCCACAGACCTCAGAGGGAGGGGGCTGGCCCGATGCAGATGGTGCTGGGCCCAGGGCACTGTGGCAGAAGGGCGAGACAGGACCCATGGCCCCTCGTGGTCCCTCGTGGCCCTTACCACCTTGGGAGAGTGCCTGCAGCTACCTTGTCAGAGTCACCCCACCGGGGTCCTCTGGGGAACAGGGCAGCCGGGATCCAGTGGGCCAGGTGAGGGGGGTGGGAACAGAAAACCCAGCCATTTGGAAGCCACATGGTCCTGGACAGAAGCAATGCCAGTCCCAACCTGCTTCTTGGGGACAGTGCTGGGAAAGCAAAGGGGGACAAATGGGTGTGGCTGGTCCCTGGGGCCTGGAGGGGTGAATTTCTTCTAATGGCCCACGGGGAGACAGCTTGGAGATACCAGCCCTGTGTGACTGGCACAGCCAATCGGGGCTTTCCCGCAGGACTACAGGGCGACACCAGCACCCCACCCTGCAGTCTGGGGGGTTTTACCCACCCAGCATTGGCCTTACTCAGCACCCAGCCAGGGGGTCCCCTCAGGACGCCAGGCCTCTGTCCTCCCACGGGCTCAGTCCCACTCTCCACCCCGCTCCTGCCCAAGCCCCTGTAGCCTCGTCACCCAAGACTGAGGCGTCTCCACTTCCTTTCTGAACACCCCTGCAGGTTGCAGCCCCACCAACCTGCCGCCACACGGGGAAGTACCTCAGCAGTTACATATTCAGTGCCAACAGCCAGGGCCTGCCGTCACCACGGCCACCTGGCGTCTAGAGTGCTGCGTACAGCTGGAACTCAGTGAAGCACTGAGACAGAACGGACAAGTCATCCCGGCCGGAGCCTAAACCTCCACTTCTGCCTCACTCCCAGAGACGTCCTCCTTGGGGTCTGGGTTGGCTGAGAGTCTGGAGATGTGACCTCTGGGAGCCAGCCCTGGGATTCCAGAGGATGTCCCTGGGCTGTCCCAGCTGGTAATATCCCCATCCGATGGGCACGACTTGCACGCTGAGCGAGGGGATCCAATCAGAAAGCCCCCAAGCCTGTTCCCCACCTGGCACACTCCACCCAGCAGGGCTGCCAGGACGGGGGGCCAGACACAGGGATGGCCCGGCACTGTCCCAGGCACCTCACGGAGGAGCCGGGCCCTGGGTCTCCCCATGCACCAGCAGCTCATGCCTAGGCTCCCATCCGCACCAGCTCATGCATGTGCACACGCACACACGTGTGCGCTGCACGCTTCACGTGCACACATGGACATGACGTGCGCATGCACACACCGTGCCCTCCCCGCTCAGGCTCAGTAGACCCTAAAGTCCCTGCCCTGGGCACCCCAGCCACAGGCGCCCCAGGTCAGCAGACCTGGGAGGGGTGGGGCTCTCGGCTAGCGGCAGGCAGCTGGGTGAGCGTGAGGGAGGCCGGGCACTGCTTGGAGGGGCTGGGCAAGATGAGAGACATGAGGACCAGGGGGACAGGGCGCTGGGGAGGGTGGTGGGTCCCGGGCCACCCATGAGCCTGGACAAGCGCCAGGATGGGCGGCCTGGACGAGGCCTGCACGATTACCTGGTGCCTCCCCGCAGGAAACACAGCAAGTTCTCTGGGTGCCCGAGCAACTTCTGCCTGGGTGGAGAGCAGCCCCACGCCCCACTCAGGCAGATGGCTTTGCAAAGTGCCACACAGCACAACAGGGAGTCCCGTCAGGGCCACCACCCTCTGGCAGCCCCTACCCAGACACGTCATTCCCAGGCTGCAGTGGCAGTACACGGGGCTGCAGCTCCCCGGAGCCCGTAGGCCCTGCCCTGGGCTCAGGGCAGGCTAGGGCCCAGCCTACCTTGGCGGGCCTGGTCCTGGAGGGAGGGTCGGTGGGGCCGGGTGGAAGTGGCCCCTGAGGCCGAGGCTCCCGCAGGCGGGTGGTGGCAGCAGCGTCTGGTTTCCTAGGTGATGACATTGGAGTCAGGGAAGCGGGTGGCTGTGTGGCCGGCCTGGAGCCCAGGGCAGCCTGGGGGCGGAGCGTGGCCAGCAGCCCTGGGCCAGGAACCTGCCACCAGCTCATACACACCGGCCCGGCACCTGACCCCAACCCGGCCTCCTCCTCCTGGGGGACGGCGCCCCCCATGGCACCAGGAGCCTGGGCAGCAGGCCGTGCAAGTGGCCGTCTCCCTGCCTGCCTCTGCTCCTGTGACCAACTTGTGCAGGCACCCGCGAGCTCAGTGCAGCATCTGCCCGGCTCCAGTTCTCGCCCCTTCCCTGGAGCATGTAAGAGCAACTTCTGCATACCATTTTCCCCGTAACAGGCAGGCCCCAGCCTGCTTCCAACAGATAAGGACTCAGCTCCCTAAATCTTAGGCCAAGTCTGGGGCTGTAGCTCACGGTAGAGCACCCATGTAGCACGTGCGAAGCCCTTGGTTCAAGCCCCAGTCCTGGGGATGAAGGCATGAGCCCCTTTCCCCAAAATCAAAGTAGCTATTATCGATCGCAGATATGTACCCTAAGCATACAGAACTATATCAGTGGGCTGGCCGGCATCCATAGCTTTTGTCCTGCAGCACTACGCTGAAATTTGAATGTCCAAGCCCATGGTTTTCACTGCCAGTCAGATTTTGGGAGCCACCCTTCTCCAGGCTGGGCAGGAAAGTCTGTGGGACCCCTTCCTGCCCCACCCCGTGTGCCCCGGAAGTCTCAGGCTAGGTGTGGGCACACTTGGACAAAAGGACTTTACCGATGGTATGAAGTTAGGGTCTCAAGATGGGGAGCCCTTGAGGTGGACCTAGGTAACCACAGGGTCCCCAAAAGAGGGAGGTCAGAGGTCAGGGAGGAGGGGCGGCGCCACCTGCTGGCTTGGAGGATGGAAGAGGCCAGGAGCCTTCAGGAGCTAGGACGGGCCTGGCGGGGCGGTCCTCCGGCACCTCCAAGGAACCAGCCAGCCAAGACTTCAGCCAGAAGTGAGTCCTGACCTCCAGGGCTGCAGAAAATGCTTCCACAGCAGGTGAGGAGATGAACACAGCGTCACTAAGGGCGAGTCTGGGGGCTGTTGCCCACAGTGACGTCCCTGTCCTGATATGGGCCCAGGTAGCGCTTGTCCCGGGGGATAGTCGGGAGGCTGTGTGCACCCTGGCCAGATGCAAGATGGGAGGAGGCCACGGAGACCCCACTGCTAGGGCTGCGCACCCCCTTCCCAGTCCCCAGGGACCTGAGGCCCCTCTGAGGGACGCTGGCCAGGGTGCCTGGGCTCCTCTCAGTAGCCTGGGGCCAGCAGGGCCACACATCCTGCAGGAGCACCATGTGGCTCAGCACCAGGGAAAGTGGCTGCATCTGTTCTAAAGAGCAGTTGACACCAAGGGACAGCAACCCTTAGCTGGGTGGGGGGGCGCTCAGGAGGAGCTCAGCCTCTCCGCCAGGAGGTGTCGCCCCAGATGCCCTGTGGCTCCCCACCCCTGGCCTGCCTGACCTCCTGCACCCTCCCGCAGTAACTCTGGACCCGGGGTGGTGGCCGCCCCACGGTGAGGTCGCCCCTGAGTCCCAGTGGCTGTGACCAGAAGAGAGCGCTCAGCCACAGCACAGCCTGAGGACTGAGTGAGGGCCCCTGGGCTGATTCCAGGCCAGACACAGACACCCTTTGGGCACATATCTGTGTCCTAAGGCGAGGATGGGTACAACCCATAATCCCAGAGCTGAAGGAGGCTGAGGCAGGAGGACTGAAATTTCAAGTCCCTCCAAGGGCACTGACTAAGACTTTGGCTGGAAAGCTTTTTAAAGGGACAGGGGTGAAGCTCCATGGCAGGGCACTCCTGAGTGTGGCTCATGGTACAATGAGGACAGTGAAAGAGGGGGAGGGG